ATGTTCATATTTTTCTAATTGTGTTGGCAATGACTGAACAGTTACCCTATAACTATTTATAAAAAGTCTATATTGTACTTAACAGTAAATGTTGAATTAATGTCACATCAAATGTTGTTGACTGTTGCCCAAGAATGGCATACTAATGTCTGGTATCCACTCATGCCCCACATTTGTCCATTTTGATCCTTCTGCAGCACCAGCTGAGAATCAGACACAATAATTCCTCTGGTATTTTTTTTTCTGCTATCCACATCAGAGATGCTAGGTGCTATAGTGATTGCCTCAACCTCCATCATCATGCTTGAAGTTGTAAACAACAAAAAAAAAAAAAGCTCCATTTTGTTCTGCCACAATCTTTCCCTTTATTCTAGCTGAAATTCCCCAGTCAGATCTTACACCCCGCTGAACAGAACCATTGGTTATATCATCTAGCTCAGCCTTGGCATCTGTCAGTTGTTGTACCTCTAATTCTGCCATACCGTTACACCACTCTCTACATTCTCTTCCTAATGTGATAATGACCTGATGGAAACTGCTGTCATGGGCGTTCATGATGACCCATTCCTGCCCCCTTTGTATCAGCTCGAGGGTTGTGGATAAACATGGCTACTACCATAACATGGCATGAACTAGAAGAAGCTGTCAGTGATACTATCATTATTCTAGCTGTCAGTGATACTATCATTATTCTAGCTGTCAGTGATATCATAATTTTAGCTGTCAGTTGATATCATTATTCTAGCTGTCAGTGATATCATTATTCTAGATTTTGATATCATTACTCTAGATGTCGGTGATATCATTATTCTAACTATCAGTAATATCCTTATTCTAACTATCAGTGATATAATTATTCTAACTATCAGTTATATAATTATTCTAAATGTCAGTGATATCATTATTATGCAGAAGTTCAAGCCATCAAGATAGCAGTAGAGAAACTACTAAATACAGGGTATTTTTCACAACCAGTGGTATTCCTGACAGATGCAAAAGCAGTACTTCAGTCACTCCAGTCTGGAAAATTACCAAGCATACGGTCACTATTATCCGAACTAGGCAACCGCTGTAAATTAGTAATGCAGTGGATACCTTCCCACTGTGGAGTTCCCGGAAACGAAAAAGCTGATAAACTAGCTAAGGAAGGTGCAACTGAAGAACAACCTGACATACCAGTCTCTTATCAACAGAAGAAGAGAATGATCAAATCAATCAGAATGCCACCGAAACTGGCACAAGATGATTACCATATTATGGACAGACCAGAGCAAGTCATTATCCTTCGCCTTAGAACAGGGCACAATCGACTTCGCTCCCACATGTACAACAAATTTAAGATTGGCCAATCAGCCATGTTTACTTGTGGACTGGCACCTGAAACAACAGATCACATCCTTCAAGACTGTCCCAGATTCAGCGCTTTCAGGCAAAAACTTTGGCCAAAAGAGACACTTGTGGAAGTCAAACTTTACGGGCCGCTTAGTGAATTACAAAAGACAGTGAAATTCATACTAGAGACAGCTTTGCAGATATAGACAATTTATTTCATGCGAACGAAAGAAGAAGAAGAATTATTCTAACTATCAGTGATATCATTTTTCTAGCTGTCTGTGATATCATTTCTTTGCTATCTTCTATTATTTCTTTAACTGTCAGTGGAATCATCATTCTAGATGTCAGTGATATAATTATTCCATGTCAGTGATATCATTATTCTAGATATCAGTGATTTCATTATTCTAGCTGTCAGTGATATCACTTTTCTAGGTGTCAGTGATATCATTATTCGAGATGTTGATGATATCATTATTCTAGATGTCAGTGATATCATTATTCTAACTATCAGTGATATCATTATTCTAATTATCAGTTATAAAATTATTCTAAATGTCAGTGATATTATTATTTTAACTTATTAATGGAATCATTATTCTAGCTGTCGGTGATGTCATTTCTTTGCTATCTTCTATTATTACTGTCAGTGTAATCATCATTCTAGATGTCAATGATATCATTATTTTATGTGTCAGTGATACCGTTATTCTAGATATCAGTGATGATATTTCTTCAACTGTCAGTGATATCAATACTCCAGCTTTCAGTTATAGTAATATTGTTATGATAAAAACTAAAGTAAAGGACCCTTTTCCACGCCTTTAAGCGAATAGGGCATATAGGGCTAGACCTATATTTTATAGACCACTGGCACAAGATGGGTGATGTGGTCAGCATCATGCCGGCCGTCTCTACTTCCTGGGACTGCACCCGGTACCCATTCAAAATTGGGTCGACCTGGGAGCCAAGGTCATTTTTTTTTAAAGCCCCAGACCCATGACCTTCCGATCAACGGAAAGCATCTAGCTGCTCCTCTATGGTGACTCCCTTGTTATGATAGCATCAACATGATTATTCTAACTATCAGTGAAACTAATACTTTAGCACACTTAATTTACCCTTCCAGACATTTATGTGAGAAAAACAAGTATAGCAAATCAACAGAAACAATCAACACAGTGTAATGTCTCCTCATGCAAGACTAACTAAGACAGGTAAGTTCTCTCAAAGTGGAGAAGCTCTCTAAACCCACCCACCCCCTCCATTTCTCTATGCCCTTCACTCTATATTTCAACCTCCATCTGTCTCTCTGTCTGCGTGTGTGTCTGTCTGCCTCCTTTGAATTACACATCTAAATCAAAGGACAAGTTTTTTTCAACAAGCACATTTGACAATTAATGTCCCAGTATCTTTTCCTTGGTGGAAAATTAAGAAGTCTCTTTATTAAGTCAGTTTTAATTATCAAAAAACTTTTTTTTTATGTATGTCATTTTGGCATGTAAACATGCTCATGTAAAAAGTGTGACTGATGTACACAAAGAACTTTCAAGACTATTTCTTTTTTTTTTTAAACAACAATCAATCAATCTATATACCAATATAAAGCACAACATACCATGTAATAAAGACAAGCAACGTACAGAGTAAAAATACTAGTAAGGAGAGGCAAAACACCATAGAAACTTTTTTTAAAATTGCAAACTGTTTCTTTAGTATATGTGACAAACATCACAGAAAGACATTAGATCTAATTAGTATACAGAAATACATTTTCAGGGAACTCTTGGAGCCCTTATAAAAAGTATACTAAAAAACTGTATTGTATTGATGGGCACACATAGATGCAAAAGAAGGAAGCTGAAACAGGTTGGAAAACTTGACCACTTTTTAAAAAAAAGTTCCAATTACCACATCAGTGATGGAACCTGTCGCTTCCAGATAAAACCTTTCATAAAGGGTTATCTAGTCGGTCATGCGTCAAAGCACACTTGCTCCTGCAGCACAGTATGTTTAACTCATACCAGAAGAAGATTTCACAGGAGATGTCAATTAATAAATTTTAGTGATTAACATTAATCAATGCATTATTTTCAAAACAGTAACATAATAGTTATAGGCAGATTTCTTGAGTGTGTTCTGACCAAATACAAAAAGTAAAAGAACACATTAAGCTAGGGAGGAGACTAAGCAGACAAGAGTGATTCACACCTTATGTGTTGTTTGGGACTCAAAGACTTAGGATAAAGAAACTGACCAGGGCTCCCAGGTTAGTTCCGACTAAAATGAATACCAGAAAATGTTCCTGGAAGTAAAGGCAGGTGGCATTGAGTACTGATTAGTCTAAAACACTTTGCACTAGATACTCAATATACCTCAAGGTTTGAAAAGGTATCTTTCACTTTTGTTTTTCCACAGCTTTATCCATGTTCAGTTTTTAGATACAAATATCTGGCAACAATTATAAAACAAACACACACACACATACACACAAATGTGCACACACACATACACACATGCATGTTCATCCACACCCACACACTCCAACTGTTTACTGCTGATCATAATGAATGAATGCATGAATAAACATTATGTCAAAGTGGAGAAGAAAATACATGCCAAGCTTTAATATTATGTCAAGAGGTCAAGAAACATATGACAACTCTTTGATTAGGTTTTAAGTAGCTAACATAAAGTCTTAGTTTGTAATCACTGAAATACACTCCCAGCAGAAATATCTGGCCTTAAACATGGTGACAAGGATAAACAAGTTACCAAGACGCAAATGAAAATATATTTACAGGAAGGAAAACAAAACATCACTGACAGTCATAATTTGACTGCAACTAGCATGTGTGCACAGGGTGGCAGAACAAATGACACATGTAACACTGAAGCTTTGACTACAGAGATGGTATCATGTCTAAAACTCTATGAGTCATATTTCAAAGATAATCATAAAATACAGTAGACAACAGATATATTTATTAAGCCTATTATATTACACTTACAAAGGCAAGTCTAAACATTTTATGGTCACATTTATGTGAGTGTCCAAATCATAACAATGTACTAGAGTTAATACTGTAACATAATGTTACCTGTCTATACTATTATCATATGTTTGACATGTTGTTTGTACTAAAGTAATTGTTTGCCTGACTAACCAATCACCTGTATTACAGTAATGTTATCTGTCTGGCTAAATTATCAAAAGACCACCCAAATGCTGTTTGTGTGACTGAATATCAAAAGAACATGTTAACTACCTGAACAAATGCTGTTTGTGTGACTGAATATCAAAAAGAATATGTCAATTTCTCTACACATCTGACTAGCAACAAAATTTACCGCTGACTAAAATGTACAAGGGGCATACAATGACCCCTGGCAGTGCTAAAGCTCATGTTATACTTCTTCTGCGGTTTCCCTTAAAAATGGTGGTTGGTACAATGTTTTGGGATTTACAGCCAGACTGCAAACAACTGTGCCTTTCAGCCCAAAAGATCTGATTTCAGCAAACCATTCATTAGCTGCCTTTTATGACATGCTTGTTCAGGGGCAGTGGGTCTGTTTTCCCCTTGTACTAAATGTGTGTCCAGAACCCACAGGCAGATCTTGTCATACAAGACTGGCAGTAGAATTAAATCAACTAGCAGCTCAGTCTACACGCTGTTAGCATTGTTGTCAAACACACTGTCATCAGAGACAGCTGCAGCCTGGGGTAGGGTTACACTGAAATGGTAGTTGTTGCTCTGTTGATGATCTTCACTTTCAAACTGAGATCTGCTTTCATAACTGGAAGGACCACCCACGCTGTCAACATTAAGACTAACATTACTGGTATCAGTGATGCAGGATGTTGACTCTATCACTTCAGTCACTGTGATATTCCGAAAATGGTAGTCTCCTGGCTGTGGACCAGACTCAAGCTCATCTACACAATTCCTGGCAAGGTTAATTGAGGTACCCCATTCAGAATCTGTGCTGACAATGGAGCTATCCAAAACATCTGATCTGCTGGTGCTGTCACACATCCCAGAGTCACTCACCCCAGATGAAGACCTACCATAAGACTCAGCCATATCATCAGATGATGCCATGTTAGAGTTGTTGACATCATTCAGACTCAAACTGCTGCTCTGTATCTGCTGCCTCTGGGGATCAGGCAACATCTCTGCACCTGCAGAATGACTCATCTGGGCAAGATCTTTGCATTCAGCAGCAACTTCATCGGCCTGCGATTTCTTCCTCCATCGTTTTAGTTTTAGTTGCGGGCTCAGTGACGGAGAGTGACTGTCACTGCTTTCCTGTTTCTCCACCACAAAGGTTTCTGACCTTGACCTTATCTTTCTGTCACCTTCACTGAGACTGTGACTGCTTCGCTTTTTCACCCGTAAAATCACATCAGACTGGCCACAGTTTGGTGACGCAGCTCGGTGTCGAGGGTCTGGAGACCCTTCTTTACTGCGTGGTGGGGACCGGCTAAACTGTCTCTTCGTAAGGCTCTCAGAAGAACCGAACTCTGAACTCTGTGACATGCGCCAGACAACCTGCTCATAGTCCATCGACAGGCGCTTGTTGGCCCGAGATTCGCGATCATATTTGCGCATCAGGATTTGACATTTCTCATGTAGTTGCCTGTGAACAATTGAACAATAATTACTGATTCTATTATCTCAGTATAAATGTGTCATATATAGAAAATGGCAGATGAAAAAGAGACACACAAAAACTGCATACACAAAAGATACAAATGGCTGTAGACAATTGAGCAGACCAAGAAGACAGTGGAGAGATACTTACAAACGACTGGAGAGTCACCAAGTGGAAAGAGAAGGCTAATCACAGAGAAGAAATATAGGCAGGTGAAATCTGCAGTAAAGTACTCCAAGGGCTCTTAGGGCTAAAGAAAGAGTAGTGGATTACATTATCAATGCTGAAACATAAATTGAACACTGTTTTTTTTCCATATTAACAGAAACATATTTAGCGGTCAACATTACAGGAATGAAAACTAGTCACTATCATTACAGTTAATCATCATTATCTCCATGCCATGCCAGGCCATTAAGCCTAGGTGGTCATGGTTCACTATCTCACATTATCACCAGTATCATGGATCAGGTCTGTGTTCTCAATTCACTCATGACATGTTGTCAAACCATCAAGGCATTTGTCTCTTTGTCTTCCCTGTATTTTTTCCATCAAAGTTACAAGTTATCCTTATATTGAGAAGTGGCTGGCCTAACAGTTAACAATGCAGGGCCCTTATTTAGCGACAGTTTCAAATTCTCAGTAATGTTGGGGATTTTTTTTTCTTAACCCATACAGTCCATACAAAGCTGCCATTCTAGACGTTTTACATCTAGATCTAATTCTAAATCTTTTTATTTAAAGTTTAATATTTTATAGATTTTTTCAGTGTCATTTCAATAATTATTGTACAAAATATTTCACACATATTTTGTTTTGCTCTGGGTGCACATAAATGATGGTCACTGCTGTTATTTCAACTTTGAACTCAACAGAGTCAAAGGTCAATAATCTCACAGCCCGGTACAGATTAATTGTGTCAGTAAATCCCAGTAACATTATCTCAACTGTAAACTCACTGTGTTGTCAATTATATCTGTGATGCAGACTCTGTGGTTCAGTGAATCCCAGTAACATTATCTCAACTGTAAACTCACTGTGTTGTCAATTATATCTGTGATGCAGACTCTGTGGTTCAGTAAATCCCAGTAACATTATCTGAACTGTAAACTCACTGTCTTGTCAATTATATCTGTGATGCAGACTCTGTGGTTCAGTAAATCCCAGTAACATTATCTCAACTGTAAACTCACTGTCTTGTCAATTATATCTGTGATGCAGACTCTGTGGTTCAGTAAATCCCAGTAACATTATCTCAACTGTAAACTCACTGTGTTGTCAATTATATCTGTGATGCAGACTCTGTGGTTCAGTAAATCCCAGTAACATTATCTCAACTGTAAACTCACTGTGTTGTCAATTATATCTGTGATGCAGACTCTGTGGTTCTTTCTTTTATACAACTTTAAAAAAAAAATAACTGCTTACTTTCATATGTGTCTTCCACATTTTTAACAACCATTCAACATGCCAAAAGTAAAGCAGAATAAAGAAAAATATTGGAACGGGTGGCTGCATGATGACATAATTAAAACTGAGTGATGTCAGTTTTATGGGGATGTGACCAAGGCCCATAGTAAGTGATGTCAGTTTTATGGGGATGTGACCAAGGCCCATAGTACTAAGTGATACCAGTTTTATGGGTTTGTGACTAAGGCCCATAGTACTAAGTGATACCAGTTTTATGGGGATGTGACTAAGGCCCAAGTGCTGCAAGAGTGAAAAGAAAGTGAAAAGTACAAGACTTGAAGAGTAATGCAAGGACTAAAAACATAAAACTGCAGTGCCATTCTTCTTCTTCTTCATTGTTCCAAGTGACATAATTGAATTGTGCCTGTTTACAGCATAGATGTGATATTTGCACATTTTGGCCGACAGTTGGTTAGCCTTCCTGGTTGTTTTTGTGGGACATGATGTAACATTTTTTGTCTGGTGTCCTCTTGGTCCCTCTGTCTACAGGTGCTGCCCCTCTAGAACCCATCCAAGGCAAACTGCATATGACTGGTGAGCCCTCAAGTGAAGGTAGGGACAGTTCATGGGTATTCCCCACCAACCAAGGCAAACCGCATATGACTGGTCAGCCCTCAGGTGAAGGTAGGGGCAGTTCATGGGTATTCCCCACCATCCAAGGAGGCTTCCATAAATGCAGAGCCAACAAACAATGTTCTGGTCCTAGGCTTACCCAAGGAATCGTTACGTCCTGCACATGTCTGAAGAAGTCTGACATTTAATGGTCAGATTTTTGGTCCCAACATTCAGATGAGTGGGGCTAAAGGTAATGGATATTTGAGATTTTTTTTTCAGTCACACAGAAGGATATTCGATAGTTGGACTTCTGAATCCTGTCTGTCACACAGTTAGACATTTGATGGCGGGACATCTAAAACTTTGCTGTTAGGCTGTAGGGCCAAACCGTGAGATACTGCCCGCAGGAGATGTTTCTCATTTGAGCTGTAAATAAATGTCCTGGTCTAGGGCTGAGCCTCAACAGTTCACATTAAGGTGGCTGTTCAGCTTATTATAACACCCTGACACCTGAGTGACAGACATTTTGGCTTTTTCAGCAATTTAGTAGGTCTTTCTGTCGACATATGTTTGATGCAAAGTTTGTTATATAGTAGTAAATTTGGCCAATGGGCTTTACTCGTGTCCCAAATGAGTTTTTGACACATGTTATGAACCATGCATTGGGAGCAGGCTGATGAGAGCCAGAGGACTTCTGGACACTGGCTCTCTGGAGGCCACCACCCCAGAAAGCTTATATTAGGTTGATATGAGGCATTATCTCAAACGCACAACGTGGACGTGTGGCAGAAGTCTTGGATGAGGATACATAAAACAGCACAGAGCTTGATGGTACCCAAGGTTTGATACAGAGCATCTTCTTATACACATTACAACAGCCTCAACTTTCCCTCACACATGTGACTGAAATCAGCAGGCTACCGGTGGGCCTCTTTTGTGGATGAGACTTTCTTTATGTTCAAAGCCGTTTTGAGTGTGTGTCATTAACTGAAGATCCATGAAGTATTTGGTTGACTTATGTACATCCATGTGTAAAACCTTCTCATTTGTCCGTCTATTCAATTCAAACTCTAATATTTAGTTAGATGTTATGAAGATACAATGATGTAATATTTGTAAAGAAACTCACATTATTATATTTTCTCACTCTCTTCTTTCCTTACTATCTCCTACCCCTAAACTCTCCTACTCTCACTCTCTCCATCCTTTAGTTCTTCCTTCCTCACTTCCCCCCCCCCCCCCCCCATCCATGCTCTCTCTTCCCTTCTGCACCTAATTCTCTACAACTAGCAACAGCAAAATTTTAAAAAATGAAAATAATCAACCAGGCAAGATGGGGAAGTTGTTCCCCTAAAAGAGATACAAAGCAGAGAGACAGCCAAAAGGTGTCCTAGTAGCTGAATCATCTCCTTTCACTTAGGAAAATTTTCAGAACTGGCACTTGTAAGAATGATCAGGAACTGGAGAAGACAGTGGAGGTAAAGATGGGGAGGACACAGAGGTGAACTGTCTGAGACAGCACAGAAGATGATGACCTGGTTTGAGTTAACTGAAGGACTTTGCTTCTCTGTTGGATAAAGGCATAAGAGGACATGCAAAATGTAAAGTATTTGATAAACAAACATACTTCTCATGGTCAGTTTTGATGTTGATGATGGCTTCCAAGTTCTCTACCTTCTGCTGCAAGGAGATGATCTTCTCCCTCGCCATGGGGATCTCTTCCAGCTGAAATATCACACAGAATTCATTTGAAACAGAGCAATCAAACACCACACGCACGGCTTATCCAGCCCAACCTTATCGATACAACTGGGAGAAACACTGACAAAATTCATTAATCCTTCCATCTGAACATCACTAATCCTTCAGCCTAATATTGTTAATCCTTCCATCTAAAATCATTAATCCTTCTGTTTAAATCATTAATCCTTCCTTCTAAAAGCATTAATCTTTCCATCTAAAATCCTTAATTCTTTCATCTAAAATCATAAATCCTTCTGTCTAAAATCATTTAGCCTTCCTTCTTAAATCATTAATCCTTCCATCTAAAATCATTAATCCTTCTGTCTAAAATCATTAATCCTTCCATCTAACAATCATTAATCCTTCCTTCTCAAATCAATAATCTTTGTCTAAAATAATTTATTCTTCAGTCTAATATCAATAATCCTTCAGTCTAATGTTATTCCCTCTTCTTGATTATCCATGTTCTTGTATCAGCTCTTGTTAGCTGTAGTGCCTGTTGTGGGAACTGGTGTGGTGTAATTCTAGCAAGATGTCCAAACAATATGATCTTCTGCTTCTCGGTGTATCTGATGCAATCGGTCCAACAGAACTGTATTTCACCTGATACAATCTGTCCTACAGAACTGTATTTCCCCTGATACAATCTGTCTAACAGACCTGATTTCAGATATTCACACTGATGGCTCTCTACAGGTGTCTTACCTCATAAGTGTTGTTTTTTTACATATATGAGTGATAGTGTCCAAGTATGGCACTGGTAGAGTCACTTTGGTTAAAATGGACGCTAGACAGCGGCGCTGTGTCGGAGCGGAGGCAAATTTTTTGCTTCTGCCGGACGGTGGCCGAAGTATTTTTGCTCCATTTGTAGACTGGATATAGTTTCGTCGCCCAGCTTCTGAGTTGAATGCATGGCGTGACCCTGTGAGCTGCGGATTGCATTTGGAATGTTTTTTCGACTGTGACCAACGTGGTGTGAATTGTAGATTCAGAAAATGGCGCGATGCCGGTCGTCAATGTTGGCGGTGCCCGTGTGTGATTACAATTGATCACGTGGGAAACTGCTGATCTGTTGGCGACAAGTTCTGCTATCATCAATGATGAACTGCATTTCTAATGTTGGACTGTTTGTGTTAGCACTTCGGATGGCTACCATATGCTTTAATGCGAGTGTATGCTAGATATGCTGAGACAGCAGTCTGTCAATCTTTCCACAAGGGACTGTGATAAACATTCTGGGTGTTTTTCGCTGGCACAGGAGCAGAGCAAAGATGGGGCGACCCGTTTGCTATGAAGCTGAAACTAAGACTACCAGACTACCAGAGTCACTTTGGTGTGAATACACTAATTATAATTTGTTGCTTTGTGTAGATGGTTACATTTTAACAATGTCAGTTGATATATAAATGCTTGACTATTGGCACTGGATTTCAATTTCCTTGTCTTTTTAGGAATCCCCCATGATCATACTTCCTTGTTATTTAAATTACATAAGTTTCTCTGGACATGCATGCAGTTCTGCATATAATGAACCAAGAGTTCTAAACAGTTGGTTAAGAATAACATAAACCTGTACACATTATATTAGGTGCTGCTGTGGTGTATCATTGGCTAGACACTTGCCTGTGGATCGGAAAGTCATGGGTTCAAATCTGAACAGAGCCAGATTTTTTTTCAACAATGACCTTGTTTTCCAGGTCAACCCAGCCTTAAGTGGGTACCAGGTAAAGTCCTGGGCAGTAAAGGCAGACAGCAGGGATGTTGAATATTTCACCCACCAAAAGCTGATTGGTCTATAAAATACAGGTTTGGCCCTATATGCCCAAAATGTCTGAAGGCATGGCAAAAGGCCCTTTACTTTATCATACTCGCTACACTATGAACAAATCTATTCATATTACATCAACAAAACAATGTATGCTGATACAATTAGGTGAAGTAGTAAAGAACCATTTTGATACCTTTAGTACATCAGGCTTACAGTGCTAGACCTTTCAGCAATCAATGGGGGATGTGGTCAACATCTAGCTGGCCAACTTGACTTCCCAGGTCAAACCTGACTTCCCAGGTCATTACCTGACTTCCCAGGTCATTACCTGACTTCCCAGGTCAAACCTGACTTCCCAGGTTATTACCTGACTTCACAGGTCAAACCTGACTTCCCAGGTTGTTACCTGACTTCCCAGGTCAAACCTGACTTCCCAGGTCAAACCTGACTTCCCAGGTCAAACCTGACTTCCCAGGTCAGACCTGACTTCCCAGGTCAGACCTGACTTCCCAGGTCATTACCTGACTTCCCAGGTCATTACCTGACTTCCCAGGTCAAACCTGACTTCCCAGGTCAGACCTGACTTCCCAGGTCAGACCTGACTTCCCAGGTCATTACCTGACTTCCCAGGTCATTACCTGACTTCCCAGGTCATTACCTGACTTCCCAGGTCAAACCTGACTTCCCAGGTCATTACCTGACTTCCCAGGTCAAACCTGACTTCCCAGGTCATTACCTGACTTCCCAGGTCATTACCTGACTGACTTCCCAAATCAACCAGCTGTATATTCCGGTGAAAGGCTCTGGATATTTGTCCACCTTTGGAGGGACGTTAGCCTTGTTCCAGAACTTGAGTGTTGTGTGCACATCTGTTTGACAAGTCTGGCTTGTTTGTATGCACACTCTTGGTTCCTTGCCTCTCAGGCACATTTATTCTGACTTCAAAGCATGATATGCTTATTGGGAAGGCAGTGGACCTATTCTTGTTTTCCCTCACAATGAGGCCCTGGAATTCACATGGGGACTGGGTAAAATTTCAGGCTGGGTCGGCCTGGAAGCCAGGTCAATATTGGAAGAAAAAAATGTCTGTCTTGGTGCAGATTGGAACCTTAGACCTTTAGAACAGCAAGCAAGCATCTAGCCACTACACTGTTTGAGCTGCCCTGCATACTGGGCAACATGTGTTTCTTCTTCTTCTGCGTTCTCACTCAAAAGGGTAACTGGCCGGTTATGTTGTGATTTAAAGCTATGCTGCAAACTCTGAAACACATTTGACTTCAGCAAACTCTTAATGACTTTTTCAAACTATGCATGTTAAGGAGCAGTGAGTCTATTCTTCGTTCCCCAAAAATGATGCACTGGAACCAATACGTTGGTATGTGTGTATGCATACGCACACACATACACACACACATAGAGAGAACACATTTCCTATCAAATCTCCTTAAACAATATACAGAAATAATCAACTATAAAGACACCATTTTAGAGGCAGCTACGTCTACCTGTTTCTCAAAGTCCATATTTTTACATCGTAGTTTCTGGACCTCTTCATTCCTCATCTCCAGGACGGTCTTCAAACTTTCTATTTCATTAGGAAGACTCAGAAATGGGGCTAGTGCAATCTTTCCAGGAGAAAAAAAATATATATAATTCGAGTAGGCAATACATTTTTCTAGAATCAGCAAATGTTAAAATTAACATAAATCTTGTCTAAAAATCTGCAACACAGCAAGATAGTAATATATTAATCTTCTTCTTTTGTCCTACTGTTTATGCTGTAGTGCATTGCAGAGAGAAATTAGATAGTCTCCTGTCTTTTGCTAGTTGCATAGCTTAAGTTAATCTCATATTATGTTTTGTTTCTCTTTCACTCCCTCCACCATCTCTTTCTTGGTCGACCCCTTGGCTTGTAGCCTACTGTTCTCATGTCGTATTCTCTAGGTGCTGGCTGATTAGGCTCCATTCTGACAAGATGACCAAACCAATTTATTTTTTCATGTTTTGTGAGATCATTTACCGATAATGTGCCTATCATTGTTCTTAGTGCCTCATTGGTGACTGCCTCTTCTTGTTTTCCCCACCACATTTCTTATACATCTTATTTCACATGTTGCAATTTTGCATTCATGTTTTTCTAGGACTGTCCATGCCTGACACGCTGTTGGCTTTTGTATTCTGTTTTCAATTTTTCTGTCCAATCCTCCATCCTCAAAGAATACACTGCCTAGGTAAATTCCTTAGCTCGTTTTTAATGTCTCTCCTTAAACAGCTAAGATATGTTGAGTCTGTGCTCTATTTACTTTCATAATTTTTTTTTCCTTTTGTTTTCCAGCAATATATTAATAATGTGACAAATACTGCTATTTGGCATTTGTCATTATGTCTGTCTACTGCACTCTCTCTTACACTGAATCCATTTCTCATACAGATCTTCCATGCCATGATATCAACCATCCAGTGTCCTTCATCCTGGCCTCCCCTCTTCAACTGTCCTTATTGTGACACTCCAGATGCTCTCTTCTCACTACAGTCACTACAGAAATGCCTTAATTACAGAAATAACAGTTAATTCTGTCAAAGACCTCCTATATCTGTTTCAGTCTGTTTGAGACATCAGTTGACTGTTGCTCAGGCTTGTTCCCACACACAACTAGGACATCAGTTGAGCTCACACTTTATCCCATTCACAACTGGGACATCAGTTCTCAACTACTCCCACTTTATCCCACACACAACTGGGACATCAGTTCTCAACTATTGGCGCTTTATCCCACACACAACTAGGACATCAGTTCTCAACTATTGGCGCTTTATCCCACACACAGCTGGGACATCAGTTCTCAACTACTCCCACTTTATCCCACACACAACTGGGATATCAGTTCTCAACTACTGCCACTTTGTCCCACACACAACTAGGACATCAGTTCTCAACTATTGGCGCTTTATCCCACACACAACTGGGACATCAGTTCTCAACTACTCCCACTTTATCCCACACACAACTGGGACATCAGTTCTCAACTACTCCCACTTTATCCCACACACAACTGGGACATCAGTTCTCAACTACTGCCACTTTATCCCACACACAACTGGGATATCAGTTCTCAACTACTGCCACTTTGTCCCACACACAACTGGGATATCAGCTCTCAACTACTGCCACTTTGTCCCACACACAACTAGGACATCAGTTCTCAACTATTGGCGCTTTATCCCACACACAACTGGGACATCAGTTCTCAACTACTCCCACTTTATCCCACACACAACTAGGACATCAGTTTTCAACTACTCCCACTTTTTCCCACACACAACTAGGACATCAGTTCTCAACTACTCCAACTTTATCCCACACACAACTAGGACATCAGTTCTCAACTACTCCAACTTTATCCCACACACAACTGGGACGTAAGTTCACTGCTCACACTTGGTCCCATACAAAACTATTCTCAAAGATCTCTGTGACATCTTTATATTCTTGGCTCTCATTGTGGGCTCCAATCCAGTTTATTTCTGCTTTAGCATTTTTATTTTATTTCCTGGCTTCCTTTGGGCGGAAAAAGGAAGTGGGTGGGGGGGGGGGGGTGGGGAGGGGTGTTGGATTGAGGCTCGATCAAATTCTGCATAATGTCTTCTCTTTTAATTATAACAGGTCTTGTAAACAAAATTTTCAGCTCAAAGAACAGTCATCTATCTTACCGCAATGTTATGAGAGTATGAAGCCTGACGAACCAGATTAATGTTGAGCTGAGTCAAGAACTGACATCACCACACTCGGGGCATTCCCATGCACGCTTTGTCCTCATCTTCAGCAGCCAGCACAGAGTTCCAATACTGATGGTGCCGGTCGTAATCTGGTTATACATCCGTCTTGCCTTTCCTCTGAGTGTAGTGAGCAGCCAGACCCTCTGGTTACACTCAGGTGCCTCATTCTCTCAAGATCATAATAATCTTGTTTCCCTACTGATTCCGTTGCTTGTTCCCAAGGGGCCTTGACTACATCTGCTTTATCATGTATCAGTTCACCACCTAGTGGTGTAAATGTCATTATTCTGCCAACTCCAGGTGTTTCCAGGTATGCAATCTTGCTCGTAAAAACAGTGAACAGTACAGGTGAAATTGCAGATCCCTGTAGTAGTCCTGGAGCTATAATACATGATTCAGAGGTCCATGAACCCAGGCGGAGAGCAGAGAGATTCATGTTATGTCAGGTTACCCCCTCCAAATCAGTATAAGATATGAAGAATGAGTGGATGCATTGTCGTGATGGAGCTGTATGTTTCCACTGCCCCTGTGGTCGTCAAGTAAATAACTCAAATATGGTGATATATTATGACTTGGGTAAGATGGCCTGGTAATGTTGAAAACATAATCTCCTTGGCAAAGTGGTCAAGCCATTTGTCTCATGCTTTTGAAGGTCATGGGTTTGTTTCACAGATGTGTCATTCTGTTCATGAGTGCAGTTGTTATGGATATCCCTAGGGAGTGTCGATGGAGCTATAGTGTCATAATTTATGTGATTCTCTTTGCAGGTCTCTAGCCATTCTGTGGAGAGAAATTGAGTCACATAGGCTCAGACTCGATGCAGTAGAGTCAATCCTCTCGACTTTAACCTTCTCCTTCTTTTTTTTTTTTTTTTAAACAAAGTTCAACACCCAAAAACAGATAAAGAGCAAAAGAAAAAGAAACCAAAGGACAAACAGTTCAAAACCAGTTTTTGGCAAGCAGACTGTATAATAACAGACCTCACAGATAACCAGGCGTAAACAAACTGAGCCTAATAGTAAGGCATAATGAAACTTGAATAACTGATGATTAACTGACCGTCAATAATGGAATAAACAGATATGTAGAGAAAAATGTTAAAAGATTTAGAAACAATGAAACAGCCATTAAAATATAGAAACAATTGCTGATGATATCTGCTCCAAAGGCCTACCTGTACTTTGGCATCTGCATCTCTCTGTAATGCATCTTCACTGTTCCTAGCTCGACGGGCCAGTTCATCACATTCACCACGTAAGGATTCAAGCTTTTCCTGGCAAAGACAAAAATGTTTGAATGGCAGCTGTACATTCATCTCATTGCAACAACAACATTTATAACACTGGAAATAACCTACCACAAAGCTAGAATCTGTAATGCACTGACTATTGGAAATAGTTTACTACAAAGTTAGAATAACTTGGATGAAGACTACAGGAAATAATCTACCACACAGTAAGAATGCTTGCAATAGAACAGCCAACTATTACAAAGTAAGAATACTTCATAAACAAACTAGAAAGTCCAATACACCACACAGGAAGAATGACTTAAGTATATAGTGTAAGAAATGACATGCAATAAAGCAACAATCTATCATACAGGAACTGTATAAAGTAATGTATCACTAACAATCCCTCACATACAGACCATAGAAAATAATCTATCACTAACAATCTCTCACACAGGGACTGTGGAAAATAATCTATCACTAACAATCTCTCCTACAGGGACTGTAGAAAATAATCTATCACTAACAATCTCTCACACAGGGACTGTAGAAAATAATCTTTTGCTAACAATCTCCCATACAGGGACTGTAGAAAATAATTTTTCGCTAACAATCTCTCATACAGGGACTGTGGAAAATAATCTATTACTAACAATCTCTCATACAGGGACTGTAGAAAATAATCTTTCGCTAACAATCTCTCATACAGGGACTGTGGAAAATAATCTATGACTTACAATCTCTCCTACAGGGACTGTAGAAAATAATCTATCACTAACAATCTCTCACACAGGGACTGTAGAAAGTAATCTTTTGCTAACAATCTCCCATACAGGGACTGTAGAAAATAATTTTTCGCTAACAATCTCTCATACAAAGACTGTGGAAAATAATCTATTACTAACAATCTCTCATACAGGGACTGTAGAAAATAATCTTTCGCTAACAATCTCCCATACAGAGACTGTAGAAAATAATTTTTTGCTAACAATCTCTCATTTGGGACTGTGGAAAATAATCTATTACTAACAATCTCTCATACAGAGACTGTAGAAAATAATCTTTCGCTAACAATCTCTCATACAGGGACTGTGGAAAATAATCTATGACTTACAATCTCTCATACAGGGACTGTGGAAAATAATCTATGACTAACAATCTCTCATACAGGGACTGTAGAAAATAATCTATGACTTACAATCTCTCATACAGGGACTGTGGAAAATAATCTTTTACTAACAATCTCTCACACAGGTACTAAATACAACACAAACTGTGACTACAAAGCTAAAAAGAGACAATGGAAAAGATGGACACAAATACAACCAAATGTTTCAACCAAAGTCTTTTCCAACAGTACTAATACCAAAACAAACCGTGGCTGGAAAACTTAAAGAACAAGACAACAAAGCTTGTAAACACATAAATTAAAATAAAGGAAAATTTGTGTGCCTTTGTCACATCAGTCATACAGTGACAGACCGATATTTGTATAGACCAATCGGCACTTAATGACTGCCTTTACTTCCCATGACAATATGAAGTACCTACTTTAGGCCAGGTCGGCCTGGGAGCCAAGGTCAATTTTCAGAGTACAAATCTACCTCGATGTAGATTTTATCCCCAGACCTTCACGTCGGCAAGTGAATATCTACACACTAAACTAGCACACCCCCTTTTTTCTGGCATATACCCTCAAAATGCAAAACATGTTTACAGTATCCCCCCCCCCCCCCCCCCCATCTTCAACAGACATAAAAATCCTCATTTTCTCCTAAAACTGGTGTACACATGAGATAAGATTTCACTCAGTCGCAGTTGCCACCAGTTTCAAAAGCAAGGCTTAGACACTCCAAGACCTAAAAACATCCAGGGACAGAAAAATGTCAATCACATTTAACAATCAGTGCAATGAGTCACATTACAAAATTAGTGTTTGGCACTAAAATGTGAAGAATCAGAAATGAAATTAGCAGAATTACAGAATCATTTTGTGAAGCTGCACAGAGTTTCCCTTTAACAATGCTTGTAAATAAAATGCATACAAATTCCAAATGATCATCACTTATGCTCAGCTAACTATTCAAAAACTTTTGAAAATGTGAGATATCTTTACCTTAAAATCTTTTCAAGATTCTGCATGTACTTAACAAACACCAGACAATTTTCAGGAGAAACAGTCTATCAAAAAATATACACATATTATAACAGATATTATCTATCGACTGTCTTCTTTAAAGTGAGATCCAATTATGACAGCCTCATCTTAAATGATTTTCTCTCACCAGATTGGCACTTTTCCATCTTTCCAGACGATAGTGTTATACTGTGCTATGAGGAGGCATGAGACTCACAGCCCATGGTGATGACGAATGAGACTAACAAGACCCGCCTGTGTCAAGAAAAGTCTTCCACAATGATAGCATGGGATTTCAGGGCCATTGTTGTCAAAATTTGTCTTTAATCTGTTTCTTCTCAGACGCTTAGCTCTCATCTTTTCTGCAGTCATTTCTTCCTTCAGTCTCATTCCCTTCCTGATATGCCCTCTCCACACAACACGGTCCATGGCAGTTTGTCCCCATGAGTCCATCTCAATACGTGAATCATTCATGTCCTGCTTGCACATATCTTTAAACTGTAGTACAGATTGGTCTCGACATCTTTTACCCGTCTTTAATTCACCATAAAGGATGTCCTTAGGGACTCTGCCTTCCTCCATTCTCCAGGTGTGACCCAGCCACCTGAGCCTTCGTAGGCTGAGCATTGACAAGACTGTTGTAGTACCTGCTCTTTCCAATACCTCAGTGTTTGTAATTTTGTCCTGCCACTTAATGCCAAGTATTCTTCTCAGGCATCTTGCGTGAAAGCTATTTAGCTGTCACTCCTGATGCAAAAAAATGTGACCAAGTTTCACTGCCATAAAGAAGAGTGCTCAGTACACAAGCCTGATATTTTCTCTCAACAGGTCTCATTAACGACTTGCCAGTCGTATGTAGGAGAAACTGGGGTGGGTGGGAGGGGGGGGGGGGGGGGGGGGGGGGGGGGGGGGGGGGGGGGGGGGGGGGGGGGGGGGGGGGGGGGGGGGTCGGGGGGGGGGGGGGGACAACAGTATATATTCTTTGTACATTAAGTTAATATGAAAACTAAATATGTTCCCATAGTTCAAAAGCTTAGTGTGTGTGCATGTGTGTGCCCGCAACGCATATGTTTGTATATGTGTGTGTGCATGTGGGCGCACGTGTGTGTATGTGTGTGTATATAGGAAGTGTCACTGTTGCCAGCTGCAAAACTTTGGAGTGTTTTTCTTCTCCTGAGCACTGACCTGCAGTAAACTTGGGCAGAACGTCTGGGTTTTTGTGTGTGTGTCCACATCTGTACTTTTTTTTTTCTCCAGAACTTGAGTTTTGTGTGCACATCTGTTTTACAAATCTGGCTTATTTGTATGCAGACTGTTGGGGATCCTCAACTAACAGGCACTCTGACCTCAGAGGAAACACTGCTAATTAGTTGAATTTTATGACATGATTGTTGTGGAGCAGTGGGTCTGTTCTCCCCATACCTTCCCCCCCCCCCCCACCCCCCTGAAAATGGGGTTCCTGTAACCACACAGGAAACACTGAGTTTCTTTTTTTTTCTTCGTGTTTACCAGCTGTAAACTCTGGCTAAAAGTTCTGGTTGTTCGTCCACTTCTGGACTGTAGTCCTGTTCCAGAACCTGAGTATTGCATATGTATCCGTTTTACAAATCTGACTTATCTGTATGCAGACTGTTGGTTCCTTGCCACTTAGTCAGATGCACTCTGTCTTCGAAGGAAGCTCCCAGTAAGTCGACTCTTACGACATGCTTGTTTGAATCCTTAGAGATATGATAATACTCAACATGCTTACCGAAAGCGTCAGCTTGATTGATTCAAATCTGTGGGTAATATCCTCCAGCTTGTTTCTGTGCTGTTTGTGAAGCTCTGCAGAGAGAATATACATTTTTTTTAGATTTGACACCCATTTATGGTTTCGAACATAGCTATGTTGGATTAAAACTGGGTTTAATCCATGAGCCATGTTTATTACACCTCTCTAATCTCTCTTTGCCACACTAAACTGAGTTCAAGAATACAGTGCTTGCAATGAACTCAATCTGAGTATATCAGAAACGCCTGTTTTAAAAACTTGTGTCACCACTAGGTTTTCAAATCTGAAATTTAGCCAAAGCCTACTAAGCTTACGATTTCCAACTAATTTGTTTAGTCAGAGCTAATTAACGTGGGGATTGTTACAGGCCAGAGACCCAAGTTTTAGCATAGAACAATCACTAATACAATACAACTGGCAATGATCCGCAATCCACATGCTAGGCTTCCGCGGGCCGGATTAGGCCCATAGGCCTCCAACTGAAAAGCCCTGATGTAAGAGATAATGATGTATCAGCATCACACAGCATACCTTTTGTACAGGTGGATTGGTCCACTTAACAACAACATAGGATTAGACCTCAGGCCGGGTAACATTTTCCTACAAGAAAGACTATTTTTGTACATTTTTACATGCAGTTTTAATTCTGGACTCGTGGTAAATTATTTTTCATGACGTCGAACTACAGTAGTGAAATAAAGTTTTTTTTTTTAAAAGGTAAAAGATCCCTGTTCACGCCTTTAGGCGCATCGGGCATATGGGAAGAGCACCCATAGTTTTAAAGACCAATCGGCACAATATAGGTAATGTGGTCAGCATTACGCCGGCCATCTTTATTTTCCCAGGACATACACCCTGGTACCTATTTTTTGCTGGGTCGACAAGCGACGCCCCATACCATGATAAAAAAATCTAAGCAGCCAGCAGTGGGTTTCGGTCGCTGTAAGTTGAAATTACTAATCGGACTCGCAAAGCCTAAGTCACGGAGGCCGCCACAGTGAGGGCAGCATTGAAAAACGATGCTCAAATTGTACCACAGGCCACATACAGGTAGAGAACCACTGATCTACTGAACCACGTGCCCAGAGTTATTTCTGCTGCTCTTACACCCGAGACTACACAGCTGTACTGTTTTCCCACTCTTGATTCAAGCAGCTAGAACACAATAACACACGGCAATAATAAAGGCATGTCCTGCCGCCATCTTACCTTTCATGGTGTTCCTGATATCTTTAAAGATTGCCTTTCCTTTACTCTGATTGTGAGTCATGGCTGACAGTGACACCAACGGTGGTGGCAATGATTCTTTCTGGTCTCCGGGCATTTTGAAAGGTAATCAGTTCACGATAAAACCAGTCTCACAGCAGAAGACTGTGACAGAATCACCACAGTGGTAACACTCAGCAGACTGTGAGCAGTATATGTTCTAGTGGTGTCAAGCGTGAGGTGGTAGCTGCATACAGTGACACGGTAAGCCCATTTACAGTGTAGTAACCAGAACCAATGAAACTAGCAAACGGGACACATGTGGCGACTAATAAAGATCGCATTTTATAGCTAATGTAGATATCATTTTCTCAGCAATAAAATTGTCATTTATAAGTTATTAAGAGCGTATTTTTCGGCCAATAAAGAGCGCATGTTTTAGCTAATGAAGAGAACATTTTATAGCTAACGAAGAGCACATTTTACAGCCAATAAAGAGCGTACTTTAAAGCCAATAAAGAGCGTATGTTTTAGCTAATGAAGAGCACATTTTATAGCTAATGCAGAGCACATTTTACAGCCAATAAACAGCATACTTTAGAGCCAATAAAGAGCGTCCTTTAGAACCAATAAAGAGCGTACTTTAGAGCCAATAAAGAGCATACTTTAGAACCAATAAAGAGCGTACCTTAGAGCCAAGAAAGAGCGTACGTTAGAGCCAATAAAGAGCGTATTTCGGAGCCAATAAAGAACATACTTTAGAGCTAAAAAAAGAGCACATTTTATAGCTAATAAAGAGCACATTTTACAGCAAATAAAGAGCGTACTTTAGAGCCAATAAAGAGCGTATGTTTTAGCTAATAAAGAGCGTATGTTTTAGCTAATGAAGAGCACATTTTACAGCCAAAAAAAGAGCGTAATTTATTGCCAATGAAGAGTGTACTTTATGTTACTGAGGAGCGCATTCGATTGTTAATAGAACATTCGACAGTTTAATGGCGACCATATTTTGAACTTTATGAAATCTACATTCTAACTATTAACAGCTAATCTAGAACATACTCAGCATCTGTATGCTAAAGAAGACCACACTCGACGGCTGGTCAACTTTCAAATGAACGTAAGAAGTGCGTAGAAACGTATACACCAAAGAAGTGTACACAAATGTGGAGGACACCGCCAAACACACGCAGGCTCGGAGATGCACAAAACACATCACAAATGTAGCATGACTCCTGGGGAAATTCATCCAATAAACTGTAACAGAAATATCTCCCTTTTTTTTAGTCATAATCACATCCCAATAGGGGACCCATTGCTTCGTTGTTTTATAGCCCCACCCCGACTGTAGTCGGGCCCCCTAGTATAACGTGACGGTTGAATGGGGTTGTGGGACATGCTGGATGAACCTCATCTTAATGTGGCATTTTGTGTCACCGGATATTGGTCGCGCGTTGCACGGTCCTGAGGGACTGAACAACAACAACATACAAACAAAACTTCGATATTGGTATGTAGTCCATGTGGGAAAAGACCGCCACCAAAATATGGATTTGTCTTGTGTGTGTACATTGCATCCCTTTCCACTTTTGTGAAGCACTTCAGTCACAGTTCCCTGTATGAAGTCTGGGCATTAACTTGATTGCAGTCACCATTGTTCTCTACCTCATGCCAGCTACTCTCAACTGTTCTATTTAGTACCCTTGTGAATAAACACTTCACACAAGCAATGACTGAAGTCACTGGCATCGCTTCTTTAAACTTCATACCCCTCCTTGACATAATATACAGTTAAGATATGTGCACACGGCTGCTTTACACAATATACAGTTTAGATGTGTGCACACGGCTGCTTTACACAATATACAGTTAAGATATGTGCACACGGCTGCTTTACACAATATACAGTTTAGATATGTGCACACGGCTGCTTTACACAATATACAGTTAAGATATGTGCACACGGCTGCTTTACACAATATACAGTTAAGATATGTGCACACGGCTGCTTTACACAATATACAGTTAAGATATGTGCACACGGCTGCTTTACACAATATACGTTTCAGATACATTCACACCGCTCCTTTACACAACACATATTTCAGATACACTGCGCACCCAACATAGATTTCAGACACGTACACTACAGCAGACCACCCCAATCGTCTTACATAACAACTGTTTAAGATACACTACATAATAGATCACGCAGCATCTCTACAAAACATGTTGTGCTCAAGGTATACTACACATTCTATCTCTTATAACGAATTTAAGACACACTACACACCAGATGAAGATATTATCATGAGAAAGAACAGCAAACAAAAATTATCCACCCGCACCTCTAAGCTAACACTATATAATTCTTGCCATACGTAAAGAAGCTAAAACATGGTAGAGGAAATATATACTAACACAAATGCCTACACTGCATGTATCACTGTATTCTAATTCATCGTTATCCAAATCTAACAATGAAAGAAGAAAGTACAACTTTCCCACGGAAGAAAAAAAAACAGCAGCCCGGTAAGTGCAGCAGCGAGTGAAGAAATAAGTCTCTTGCTCATTCACGGAGCCGTGCTCAAGGTGATTCAGACAGGCCCTCGCTGTCTGGCTGTTTCGGTGCGAGTTCACTAAATGGTTCAGCTTGATATCACCGCCCCGTTGCTCTTCTCCCTCCTTTCTACCATCTTATTCTCTTTTCCTTTTCCCCGCTTTCTCTCCCTTTCTTTCTCTCTCTCTCTCTCTCTCTAGCTTTCTTTCTCACTCTAACTCGCTCTTTCTTTCAATCTATCTCTCTCTCTCTCCCTCTCTCTCTGCCTGTCTGTTTTCCTTTTTGTGTGTATATATGTGTCTACCCGCCCGTCTGTCCGTGTATGCGCGCTCGTCTGCATGTATATATTAAGAGAGGGTTGGGGACTATAGATATATATTGTACACTCCCTACGTGTTACTGTATGCATGTGTGGGTATGTGTATATACGAAAGACTGCTCTATATGTATACTCTTGCGTGTGCTAGTATACATGTAAATGACGAGTAACACCATACATACCACAGACTACTAAACGCTCGCGTGCGGATCGGAAGGTCGTGGGTTCACTCCCTGGCGGGGGCCGGACTTTAAAAAAAAAGGACGACTCCCCAGTTCGACCCAGCCTTGAGTGGGTACCGGGAAATAAAGGCGGCCGGCGTAATGCTGACCACATCACCCATCTTGTGCCGATTGGTCTATAAAAAATAGGTCTAGCCCTATTTGCCCTATACGCATAAAGGTGTCTGTTCGACCTATCTTGTAACAATAAAAGTCCATAGACGGGCACTGGTTAAAGTCTTTGCCCGGAACCTGTTTATTCTGACCCTGTGTGTGTATTTTACTGTCTTTAGATATACTGTACTGTCTTTAGATATACTGTACTGTCTTTAGATATACTGTACTGTCTTCAGATATACTGTACTGTCTTCAGATATATTGTACTGTCTTTTGATATACTGTACTGTCTTTAGATATACTGTACTGTCTTTAGATATACTGTACTGTCTTTAGATACACTGTACTGTCTTCAGATATATTGTACTGTCTTCAGATATATTGTACTGTCTTTAGATATATTGTACTGTCTTTAGATATATTGTACTGTCTTTAGATATACTGTACTGTCTTTAGATATACTGTACTGTCTTTAGATATATTGTACTGACTTTAGATATATTGTACTGTCTTTAGATATATTGTACTGTCTTCAGATATACTGTACTGTCTTCAGATATATTGTACTGTTACTGTCTTTAAAAATATGTTACTGTCTTTAGAATATTTTAATGTCTTTAAAAATATGTT